AGACTTTTAGTTTATGTTACGGTGATCGTCGATCTTAGGCAGAACAGCGTACTAGTCTAGACATTTATTCATTTGAGAGATATCTATTTCAAGAAAATAACTGAATTTTATAAAACATGACTAAACTATAAGAACTAAGTTTTTCTCGATCGAGAAAATCGAACTAGAGCATTTCGATAAATCTTCTATAGAGTCGAATTCTTCGACCTCGAAAAACTTTAATCTATGTTTATAGAATCCAGCTATTTTCTTGAGATGGTGTTCCCAACCGAAACTAATCCAAGATCACCATAGTTTTATCATCTGTTCACCGGTAGTACAGCGTGTCTAACGAATTGATCTCACAAAAAAGGATGCATATATTCAATAAGCTTTTGTTTGTGAATTGCAGAGCTTTTCATACTACATTAGATGGTATATTTTGTTTTTTTTTAATAAAATGTGTAGACGGATGAAAATACGAAATGCAAAAAGCGCGTTCATTCGTTATGCTTCACTCATGTACATATCTCATGAAAACTTTTTATACTCTTTATATTAAGTAATAAATTATAGAACTGTTGTTGATTCGTTTTTTTTTCTATATCTTAGGTAACAGAAATTAATGGATCTCAATCACGAGCACGTGCACCTTTACTTAAACAACTTGAACAAGTAACAAATCATCATTATCTATCATTTAAACGTTGTCCATCAGATACAATTATGTCACAAGGTAAAAATCTCTAAATAAAAAAATTTTTTTGTTTGAAATTTTTTTTCTTCTTTTGTTCTCTTATTAGAAGATAAATCAAAATCGATTAAAGAAGTATTATCTCCATTACCCGTAAAGAAAAAAGCAAAGAGTGAACGTGATTCGATTATATCTTATTTTAATCAACCAAAAAAATCTGTTCATAATAATGATGAACAAAAAGAAAATAATTCTCATAATCAATTAAAATTAATTGTATCTGATAAAAAACAATCGAAAAAATTAACTAATGAAACTAATATTACAAAAAAACGAAATAAAATTAAACAAGAAGAAAAATCAATGATTACAACAGATAATCAATTTGTCTCATCTATTCAAGTTGAAAAAACATCTCTAATTCTTTTCGATGAGGTTTATTTTCAAAATAAAAATAAACAATATTTCTTTAACTTTTGTTTTTTTCTATTAGATTGAAACATTAACAATAGATGATCATTTTTGGTCATGTTTAAAAAAATTACTTGAAACAGCTAAAAAACCTATTATACTCACATCGAATAGTAGAATTAATCCAGAAGATGCTATTATCAATTTATCAAAAATTACATATTATGAACTTATTCATCTTGAACAAAATGAACCAGTAAATTAATTTCTTTTCATTTCAACTTCTCAATTAGACTTACCTATTTAGACTGAAGTTTTCAAGGATTAATAATCGAAATGTGAAATACTTTTCATAAAAATTTCACCTTAATACGTCATGTTAGACTGAACTTTCAATTTATTCACAGTCTATTTATGATATCAAGGAGAGTCTCTAACATTTCATCATAAAATACGCGGAGCACCTATGTAATAACTACCGCCTGCTTTTTTTTTGAAAGTGTTCTATCAAAATGGGGGAATATTTTTGAAGTTTGTTAAAACTGACAGAACTGAGTCGTTGTCGATGCACTCTGAGCCATCTGTACTGCTCGTAGAACTCAAATTTCTTTCAGTTATGAAAGAAATTTTTATTATAGATGATACTGCAAAAATTTTTATTAGTAAAATATATTCTGAAACTGTTTTCTTCATGATTAATTTGAACTCTTTCTAATAAATAATTCGAATTTGAGCAGAAAACACACTCGGCTATCGTTTATGATTGGAACTGAAAGTCGTAAACGTTATCGGCGGTAGTGTGAACAAACATGCGATCTGGATAGTTTTAAATCAAAGCCAGCATTTGTGTATAGTTTTTATTTGAACAGAACTTTGAAATGCGCTTTGATTTATTTTTTATGAGGATTTTTACAGACATGATACTAAATCTAGCTTTTCTCAATGCAGGAATCAAATACAAATAACCTGGTCAAACAATAATTTACTCTCATTTAGAGCTTCAAGATAGAAAAAAAAGAATATATTCATTATGCCTTGAATCGTGAAAGGCGAGTTTCAATTTTTCTGATCGGAAATACTGTTTTAACAAAAGAGAAAACCGGTCGATAAGTTTAGAAATAAATTTCTTCATCAATCCTTTGACAACAAAGTTCATACATCTACGATTTCGAAATTTAAATAGAGAGTAGAGCTGAAATATAGTAAAACGGATCTTTTTCAATATACGTTGTAATCTGACATAGATATCACTAGTAACAATATTGCAAAGACTCGTCGATAATTTTCAAAGTACATCATATTAAAAATAGAAATTTTCATTGTTTTTTTTTGTTTTTTTTTATAAAAATATCATCCGTCGTCAAAGCATTAAAATTTTTACGCAATAGGCGCAAACTATCGACCTTATCTTGAAGATAAATATAAAATATGTAATCTATACCTTAAGGGTCACTAAGCACTTTATAATTAATATAAAAATATTTTATATAATGTTGATATTAAGCTAAAGATAGTCTTACAAAAATTGACAAACTTAAGAGAACTGAAAGTATTTTCTGAATGATATGAAAAAACATTCAATTTCGTCTTTTTTTTTTTTTAAAGCAATGAGACTTAATAATACATCGTTTTTTGATTATTATTCTTTAATAGGAACTTATTGGTTGTTTTCTCCGCTTAATACTTTTAATTGAAATGTTAGAAGTACCTTCATTTGATGATCTTATAAAACTTGTTAAATATTGTTCATATGATTTACGTCAAACATTATTAACACTTCAATTTCTTGCACAATCATCAACAATAAAAAATATTCAAAAATGTTCTTCAGAAGAGAATAATTTCATAATATCACAACCTAAATGGCAATCATCATGTATATTCGATGCTATGTATTATTCTCATCTTAGTGAACAATGGAATGAATCATTACTTAAAACATTTTTTGATGATTTAACAATAAAATATACATCGGAATATCAAAAATCACATCTGTTGTTAATTAATCACAGTAAAATTAATACAAAACGGTATATTTAATATTATAATAATTTATAAATATATTATTGTTATATCATTTTAGAATTGAATTGTATGATACATTCAAATTGTTTATGCAAGAACAAGAAATTAATAATATTATTGATCATTCATCTTTTTATCTTGATTATCGACCATATATTCGACAAATTTGTCAAAATGAACAGATTCGAATTAATGAATTAAATTCAAATCGACGGTATATTTTTTTTCCTCATTAAAAAATATTCTATTCAATATGATGTTTTGTTTTTTTTTAGTCTTCGACATAATCTTAGTTTTCGTGGTTGTTCATTACAATGGTCTGATTTTGAAATTTTATCAACCGGTATCGATTAAGTCTTTCAATATTGATAAATCAAAACAAAAAAACACTAGTCATATACTTCAGTCAGATATTATTATATTTTTTTGTTATATTTTGTATTGTCAAATAATTAAAATGTCAGATGGATTGTGTGTTTATATTTATTATTATCAATTTATCATTGATATGTGTTGATCAACTAGTCAAATGAATTGAACAAAAGAAAAAAAAAATTGTTAAAATATCTTAGGATAATTTTGAAAATAAATATATTATAATAAACTAATCGAAGAGAAAAGTTCTGCAATTAATGAATTGCTTTTGAGTCGAGACTATATGCTTTATGCATTGCCTAATGATCTATGAATACTTTGAGAAGAGTTCGTGCCTTTAACTTATTGTTGCGGGGGATACTGCATTTTTAGAATATTCTTCTTGAGTCAATGCCATGTTCTCCTTCAAGAACATCAAAAAGACTGATTTTTGAATTTCGATTTGATACTTTATTATAAAAATTTCAGATCTTTTCATTGTTTCTATCCAATGGTAGAAACATTCCTTTTGTAAAGCTCATATAACTCTACAGATTCAATATTTAGCAACCAATCAGAAGATCTTAAGCTTTTACAATAAACTTTAGGTCTATCTCTGTGCATGTTATCAAATACAGCAGTACACTAAGGACACAAACTTCCCAGATTATTCCTATATCATTAAGTTCTACATGAAACATATCGTTTCGACTAAAAAATTGTTCACTAGCTGAGAGATTTCTTTAGTGAGCGGATAGCATTCGAGACATTAATAAACCAGAAAATATATGTAGATCATTGTGACAAAGTGGAAGAATAGCTCTATCGTTACCCTCGATAATGATGTTTATTAAGCTACTTCACTACTTCACTTGTATCTATAGCAATACAAAAGCATGCTTATATACTAGGCACACAAGAGAAGAGAAAGAGACACATACATCGTCAAAATCAATATTATGAAGAAGTCATATGAAGAAAAGAGGAAGTAAAGTGTAACAGTCAAATAACCGTTGCAATCATCCATTGAATCTACGAATAATATATTGAATTTTTAACAGTCATTTTTACTGTATTAAACGAAGATATCATCGTTTGTATATTCAATCTTCATTGAAAAATACAAAATATATAATTGCTATTAACTCAACATGTGAAGTTGTGAAACTAAAATATGAACTTATTATATATACTTATGATTTAATATATATATTAAGATTGGATCTGATGAACATACGTTGTTTTTATGGATATCCTTGAGCTCACTTATTTAATTTCTATAGTAACAGAACAATTCCAATCTTTAGGAAGAGCAACATCAATGAATATCTGAATCGAAAAATTGATTCAGTAGAATTTATTTATTTTCATTTTTAATAGCTGTAAGAGATAATACACCACCAGCTATATGAAATAAAAAATATAAAATACATTGTTGAATTTTCGGCACAATTTTTAATGCCATCTTCAGAACATTTTTGGTTTGATCATATAAAATAATGAAAAATAAAATATAATTTTAATTTTATACTCAATTTCATGATGATTGTTGTGCAATATTTGTACGACATGAATGAGATAATCGATGACAAGAACCAATAAATGGAAAAACACCTATTCCAAGACGTATACCACCTAACATAACATCACCACCACCTAACATAACATCACCACCACCTAACATAACATCACCACCTGATATAAAATCACGATCTAAAATGAAATCACCACTTGATATACAGTCACCAGCAGTAAGAACAATATCGATTACGATTAAACCTGTTTTTTGTTGTTTCTCTAAATAGAGAAAAATAAATATAGGTACCATGTTTGTAGTTGCTTTGAATTCAAAATAACATTAATTAAAGTAAACATGGATTTTTTTATATATAACAGAACAATTCTAATAATAGGAAGAGCAACATAAATGAATATAGCTGGTGGTGTATTATCTCTTACAGTTATTAAAAATAAAAATGAAAATAAAAAATGAAAATAAATAAATTCTACTGAATCAATTTTTCGATTCAGATATTCATTGATGTTGCTCTTCCTAAAGATTGGAATTGTTCTGTTACATATCAAATCCATGTTTACTTTAATTAATTTCTATAGTGCTTTAATTTTAAAAAATGTCGACATGGCTGAAAGGATGAACATGACAAAAGAAACTTATTAGTCAAACGTAAATAGAGAATGCTAATAGGAAATTACATTTTAGCATAAGAATATTTGTGTATGAATATATACATATTGATAGAGCAGTCTTCGTATATTTACTATAAGTCAATGAATTTTTGTAACTAGAAATTCAGATAGGAATTTATTATCAATGAATCAAAAATATGAATGAACAAGATAATCGGTAAAATTTAGCCAAAATAAGGATAAAGTTGATGACATTGATGAAAAGAGAATTTTTTTTTTGATATAAACGATACTCTCAAGAGATAAAAAAAAATGTTATAAAAGAAATTTTCGTTTATAACAAACCTTATTTAATCCAATTTTTGTAAAGTATACTCTTGTCATATAAAATAATATGATGACTTTTTTAAAAATAAATAGACATTGGAGAATTAGAAAAATTTCTTAATAATTATGATGATTAATGAAGAATGATTGATTTCAATGTAAATTCACTTCAGAACAACAAATAGTGAAAATTATAATGAATAATTCCTCAAAAATATCTCGGATGTTGACAATATTATATTAAATAATTGAATTTAGTATCAACGATAATAAAATACATGAATCAATAAAACATGAAACAAACCTATAACAATATTTCTAATTAATTTGATTCATCAAAAGTAGATCTTCCTATCCAAATCAAACTATACGGTACGTAAATGATCGTATTTAGCTAAATTACGATAATTCTCAGCCTGGAATAGATGATCACAGTGCAGTACATGATATTCGTTTAAGATACTACGAGAATGTTCGGTATTCGATCGTCGCATCTGTACTGTGACGTATGCGATAGCCATTTACATGTTGTAACTATGCTATTTTTTACATGACATTATTAAATTGCCGAAACTTTATAATCAGCTAGCATGCAATGATATACAATTAATAGATATCACTGCCAAGCTTTCATGATCTAATGTTTCTAGGAGCCACTTTTTGATTAAAACATTTATTTGTATTTTTTGTCTGTTCAAAATTTTCAGACGGCTTTTTCATATTAATTGACAGCATCTATTCAACTTTATCCAGCGCAATCAACTGCGACGTTTAAAAAAATACCTGTGAACCACCTTTTATACTTGTCAATTTAAAATAAATATGCAGTGGACCACAAATGAATTTTCTCTCTTTGTATTTCTTACTTTAGACTATTAGCGTGTACTTATTTTTTCGATGATCGGTATATGTAGCGAGAAAGTACTAAATTCAATGCATCGAATGATATATTAATCATAAATAGCAAAAGGAAACCAAACAACAACAAAAAAACATCAGAAAAAAAAATGGTATTTTTTTTCACTACGATTTGCAGTAAGAGTAAATATGATTTTTATCTTTCTATTGTTTTTATATATATTGATGGACATAAGTTCATTCTCATAAACCTATCTGTCTAATTAATGAAACGCAGCAATGATATATTATTAATAGAAATGCTGAAAAGAAATCCAGCTTCAAATGGATGTATATATTGTTACGTTGTAGATCGAGATTCTCTGTTCCTTTGCCTATATCTACATTGAACGAATATTGTATATATTAAATAAATATCACCATTAAACAATCTAATCTGGTATTCATTTAAGAAAGCCATTATCTAATCACAACAACAAATCTTCTATCACTACTTTCACAAACTTTTTATTCATTATCGAGAGAGAAAATCAGCTCTGCATATCACAAATGTGATTTTTATCTATAGAATACCTATCATCAAAGAAAAAAAAAAGCGAACTCTAGTAGTCTAAAATAAGAAATACGAAGAGAGGAAATTCAATTGAGGTGTGCAGTATATTTTTACTTTAGATTAATTCGCAAGATAAGTACAACAGTAAGAATTAATTTAACGTAATACATTATATATTTCCTTTATTTTTACGAGAGAAAGGCGTAAGAGAAGATCATCTCTCTCGTCATTGATAAAAAAGGTCATATAAATACTATGGCAAATAATGGTGTACGTCAGAGTTCCGCATGAGATGAGATGGAACAAGAAAAAAAATGGTCTCATGAGATGAACTGCCATGATTTGTCCCATGGAATGAGATACTTCTAAAAATCTGACATCTCGTGCCATGGGACACCATATTCGTTAAACGGTTTTCAAAAAAAAGTGACATTTATTAATATATTTATCCATTTGATTAATTATACAAAATATTACACCACTGAGATAAATCTAAAAGTATTGGTGGATGTACTTTATTTCTGTATAGAAAGTTTGAGGAAAGCTTCTCTTTATATGTAGTGATAGTAACCACAATGCTATATTTTTCTGTAATATTTGATCATATTTCAACTAATGTCATAAGAATAAAAATTTCGATAAGAGTTGTTTGTTATGATATGTGACGACAATGAATCTTCAGACGACATTTTATCAGTTATAACTAAAATCTAAATCAATTCACTGCTTCTAACTATTATAATAGAAAGAATTATGTCGTTTTGCTTATTTATGCATTTCATTGTGCTCTAATGAACAGAATACATAACCATTTACAGAATAAAGTTTTTTTT